GAGGCCAAGATTTGGGGACAGAGAGGATCCATGAGAAATTAAAATCACCACAAATTATGCCAGCAGTAGAATGTGTAAGAATTATAGTGAATAAAGTGCTAAAGTCTTGAAAGACTGTGATAGAGATGTTTGTTACACATACATTTGATAAATGACTGGCATACAGTATGTCTGAAGCCCATTGTTTAAACATTTTATTTACTTACAAATTGTGGTAATATGAAGGCCATAAAGAGAGTGATAGAGAGTAAGTGGAGAAAGCCATTTCAATTAAAATGAACTTTTTGAGAAGGTGCTATCTGAGTTGGTCTTTGAAGAAGAAGGCACTAGTGCTGCATAAACTGGAGGAAGAGTCAAAATCCAATTTTTTTAAGTAAAAAATTAGACCAACGATAGGAACATTTCAAATACAGGAATGGCCAACAAGCAAATGAAAAATGATCCACCTTGACTGAAAATCGGAAAGGCAAAATAAAAATGCAATGAGATAGCATTTTAGTACACCAGGTTGAAAAAGATTTAAGAGCCTGGTAATAAGAAATGTTTGCAAGAATGTAGTGAAATGAAAACATATTCTGCTCACGGGAGTGTAAAGTATAAACAAAATTTAGAAAAAAGGGGGGAGGCATTACTTATTAATTTGAAAAAGTACACATAATCAATTAACGATCCACTCCTAGGTATACACAATAAATATATGAGTAAAGAGTCCATGATTTGAAACCAGGTAAGTCTGCTTTTGATTCCTACATCTAACACAAACAAGTTATTAAATTTTGGATAACTTGCTTTACCACTCTGAGCTTCACCTGTTAAGACCAAAAAAGATCAATTTTTTCAAAAAGGGCAGGAAGAAACTTTTGGAGGTAATAGATATGTTCATGGCACTGATTGCAGTGATGGTTTCAGGGATGTATAATTATCTCCAAACTCAAGTTGTACACATTAAATATGTACAGCTTTTTGTATGTCAGTCATACCTCAATAAAGTGTTGGGTTTGTTTTTTAAAGAAAAAGATCACTCGTTAAACATTAAATAAAATGGTAAATATAAGTGCTCAGTAAAATGATTTCGTTATCCTAAGATTGTTATAATTTTATTGATATTAATAGTTCTAAAACAGCCTTAACCTTCAGAAAGAAACTGCCACAAATATTTACCTTAGTATTAAAACACCTTTTTTTTAAAGAGAAATCAGTATTTTCCATTTTCTCCTGAAATTAAAGACTCAGCATTAAAGGAATGTCATGGAGCATTTGGGTGGATCCGTTTTATACTAGGAAGAGAGTGGTCTATTTGAGTAGTTTTTTCTCTAGAATGCCTGAAATCATAGAAAAACATGAGTCCTAAAGGTAAGCAATGTTTGAAGTTCTATTGGTGGTATCTCTTTTTTTCTTCTTCTTCGTACCCTCCCCCACCCCCTCCCAAGAATGAGTTACACAAGTATTCTGACCGTTAGAGGCCTAAAGAAGTATTTCCTTACAGTGACCTACCAACCACAGCCAGGGCTATTGGGCGGCACAGATACCACGATCTATCGGGGCGGAGCCTCCGAGGGGGCGGAGCTTAGCATGACATTTTACGACTTTGGTTCCGCTGGCATCATTTGCCACATCACTGGCTGTCAGCTGCCTGCATCGGTCAGCGTGAGGAGCCGAAGATTCGAAGATTAGGCGCGGGTCCCCTAGAAACTGGACTGCAGGACTCCCGGGAGGTGTCTCCACAATTCCAAGGACTCCCTCGCGTCACGAGGTCGTGCGCTCCATCCGCCCCCAGCCCGCCACACCAGTCATCGAGAACTGTCACTGAGTGACACTAGTCCTCTGACAGACCCCGGGAGCGCACCCTGAAGCACCTTCGAGGGGATGGGCAGCCAGCTCCGCAGCCCCAACGCCTACCCTGTGCCCCGGTGGGGACCTCAGCCAGGGGAACCTGGCCCCGCCAAGCGCCGCCGTACTGAAGAGCCCGCGGGCCCCGAGTCCGGGATGGCGTCCAGCCTACAAGACCCCACGGGGCCGCCGAACGCAGGGGCGCTCACTTCCGTGGTGGTCCTGGCCGCGGGCTGTGCCCTGCAGCTGCCCCTGGACGACGTCGACCTGGTGTTGGAGCCCGAGCCAACGTCGGTCCTGCAAGTGTCTCTCGGAGAGCACAACCTCATGCTGGTCCCCGAGGCCCTCCTGGGTTCGGGAGACCAAGGCTCGGGAGGACATGGCCTCTCGCCTGTGGGTCTGGAACCCGGCGCTCTCCCATGCGCTCTCGGGGAAGACATTGCCGTCCAACAGGGATTCTTCTGCGCATGTGTCCCAGAGATCGCCGCCCATGAAGAGGCCTATGAGGAGGACGCCGACCACGAGTTCCCGCCGCCTTGGATGGATCCTGCAGCCAGCTTAGCCGCCGGATTCCGCGGCTCAGCTAGAAGGGTGACCAGCCCCGACCCGTACAGCCCCGACTTGCACAGCTCCATCCCAGAGCCCATGCCTCGGGCGCCCACCCCTAGTCCAGAGAGACGCTCTCCTGGTCCCTACTTCAACCTGGACTTCCACCTTCTGGAGCCCTTCCCGACCTCACCACTCCAACCTCTACCTCCGTCTCCGAGTCCGGGTCCCCACGCGCGCCTCCAGCGCCCTCCTGGCCCTGCGCGCAAGGCGAGGAGACGCCTGTTCCAGGAATGAACTTCCCTTCCACACATATACACAATTCTGGCCACCTGCTTGGAGGCCCTGTGGGATTTCCAGCGTCCTTTACATAGAATATCCTATCACCTGGAAACTTAGCACCTCATGTGCAAACAATTTCTCCTTTCGCGAAGACTGGCTATAGTAAGCAGATTCTAGACCTCATCTTTGAAATTAAAAATCTACCCAGGGATACCACATAATGTGTTTTCAGATGTTTGGGTTTTTTACAAGATCATTCTCAGGCCCTTCCATCCCCCCTGATTTTGCATCAGTTATTTTCTCTCAAACTACTCCAGCACCATTCCATTGCTCCCATTTCTCCCCAAACCAGGAAATCATTGGATTTCTCATGTTGTGAGTTTCCTGGTATGTTTTCTCATGAATTTACAAAAACTCTTAGCCTTGGCTTTTCTCTTTCTTGGTGTTTGCAGCTGCTCTTCTGGAAAAATTGCCTACTTCAACCTGGACTTCCACCTTCTGGAGCCCTTCCCGACCTCTCCACTCCAACCTCTACCTCCGTCTCCGAGTCCGGGTCCCCACGCGCGCCTCCAGCGCCCTCCTGGCCCTGCGCGCAAGGCGAGGAGACGCCTGTTCCAGGAATGAACTTCCCTTCCACACATATACACAATTCTGGCCACCTGCTTGGAGGCCCTGTGGGATTTCCAGCGTCCTTTACATAGAATATCCTATCACCTGGAAACTTAGCACCTCATGTGCAAACAATTTCTCCTTTCGCGAAGACTGGCTATAGTAAGCAGATTCTAGACCTCATCTTTGAAATTAAAAATCTACCCAGGGATACCACATAATGTGTTTTCAGATGTTTGGGTTTTTTACAAGATCATTCTCAGGCCCTTCCATTCCCCCTGATTTTGCATCAGTTATTTTCTCTCAAACTACTCCAGCACCATTCCATTGCTCCCATTTCTCCCCAAACCAGGAAATCATTGGATTTCTCATGTTGTGAGTTTCCTGGTATGTTTTCTCATGAATTTACAAAAACTCTTAGCCTTGGCTTTTCTCTTTCTTGGTGTTTGCAGCTGCTCTTCTGGAAAAATTGCAAAAAGTATGATGGTTACTATATATAACAGTATAATGTTTGTTCATAGCTATCTCTTAACCTGCTGAAGTTCTCTTTCAGTCAGTTCACTTTTCATTATGAATAAGTTTGGATTTCATCAGATGTTTTCAGCATCTGATATGTATTTCCTTTTTTAATCTGTTCATCTGGTGATTTTGACCCACAGACTGATGTGAAATGTTTGCATTTCTGCTATTCCACATTATTTTTATCTTTTAAATTCTACCCTGAGTTTTTTCTTATGTAAATCAAACTTCCATCTTTTAAAAATTGATTTCAGTGTTTGCTTCATTTTTATAAGAGAAATAAAATATTATTGGTCAACCTGAAGTCAACAAGATGATTTCATTGTTTAAAAACATTAATACTATTTAGATATACCAACACACTTTACCAGTTCTCCATCTTTTTATTCTTACATTCCACTCTCCAAGTCTGACCACAGTTTTCTTCTTGCTGAAGAATATCCTTTAATAGTTCTTTCCACTATACCCTATATATGGTAAACTGTCTTGGTTTTATAAGTCTGAACATGTTTTTGTGTGGTAAACACTCTTAATCTTACGTGTCTGAAAATGTTTTATTGCATATTCTTAATTCTAAAATGATGTTTAACTACTTTAAAGATATTAGTCCATTGTTCTGCCTTTTTGTTGTTGTTTTTGCAAGCAAGAAGTCTGCCAATCAATTTGATTTGGCTGTTCATTTTAGTATTTTTTTTAATGTTTCTTTTCCTTTGGTGTCTTACAGTTTTATTGTAATATCTCTGGGCTAGATTCTATTTTTATTTGGCTTGATGGAATTTGATTAACTATGATTATGGGGGATTACCTCTTGGCTGAAATTCCACAAAATCTTAGGTTCCATATCTTTGAAGAACCCACAAGTCCCCATGTTTGGAAAAAATATATACATATATGTACATACACAATCAATCTCCATAACTTAACAACTTAATACGATGTGTTATGTATGCCTTAATTCCAGCTTTCTTTCATCTTTAACCCAATTAATTAGTCATTTCATCAGCTGTTTCAGTATACGTTTCATTTCAAATATTTTTTTAAGAAAGTTTCATTTCAACTATTTTTTTTTCTTTTCAAGATTTTTACTTAATCTTGTTTCAAACTTTCCCAGTTAGTATTATAAACTCTTATATTTTTTTCATGGATGGTATTCCATCCGTCATGCTTTGAAATTTTTTAAACATTAATAGCTCAATTCAATTTCCTCACATGTAAAATTTATTATGTTTTCAATCACATTGGACTGCCTCATGTGCTTAGTAATTTTCATTAGTTGGTACATTTTGAGTGGAAATTCATCTTCTGCATCTCACAGTTATAATTTTTACAGTTTCCACTTCCTAGTGGACCACAACTCAGAACCAAAGCTTTTGGAACCTTTGTAACTTATCTCTTTGGAAGGTCTTAGATCTAATCCCCAAGCAATCACAGTGGCCATTCTCAATTTCAACCTGCCTTTCCTTGATCAGGCACAGCCATAAAATAGTGGTCAGTGCCTCTTTAAACCCTGATTAGTGGCAGGTTGATTTTCAGCCCCCTCAAAGGAGCAGAAATCCCAGTTGCCAATATATGTTTTAGTCTCAGTGATACAAATACATCAAAATATCAATTGTCCATTTAGAGATTGGGTTTTCTACTCTATTTCTGGTCCCTGGAGGTGTGCGTCTTTTGAAAGTAGTTGTCTGTATTTCATATGATTTAGTATTTCCTATCTCTGCTTCCAGTAGAGGGAATCCCCCTACACTATTATCTTGTCCACAGTTTCCACCATAACTCAACCATCCCTCCCCTTTACCCCCATAACACATCACTTAATCAGTCACAAGTCCCAGCCTAATCTTACTATTCTGAAGAGGGAAGATGGCCTTGTTTGCAAAACTATCTTCTATTGCAAGAGCCTCATAACCTATGCTAGAAATAACTGAGGACATCCATTTTTAACAGTATGTGAACCAAACAGCCCCCCAAAAAAATCCTCAAGAACAACACTCTTGAAAGTGATGAATAAAAATTATTTCAACATTTTTAAAGGCATATCACAGCTTATAAATGTAAGAGAAATCTTCCAGCGTCAAAAATGGTGATGTCACAAATCCAGAGAGGAAAGTGGGTGCTGAAACGAAGGTACGTGGAGGTTCCTGATATTCTATAGTGATCTAGAGCTTTGGTTTCAATAGCCAATTTATGGAAAAGAAAAAGATTCAGTGGTCATATAGCCCTGAAAAAAATCCCAGGCTTCATGATGCCTCTAACAGGTAATCTAATCAGGGGCGGGGGGAACCTCATAATACAAAAGGAGATGGGACTTAAATGTATCTGTCTCAGCTTTGGCTCCAGGTAGAATAAAACACAATCTGTTGAGGGTTGGTGAGGGGACCTGAGAGTTTAGTTTAAGATATTCTCTGGTAGACGATGAACCTGACAAAAGCAAAACAAATCTTCTCCAAGAAGAATACACCTTATACCCAGGGCTAAGTATCTTCTCAGAGATAACCTTCCAGTGATTCTAAATTCCTAATCCAAAATCAATGAATACAAAGGAAACAAACCATAATAAATGAGAATGAGAGACATCCAAAACAAGAAAAAGGAGAATCAGTTCCTCAAATGATAAAGATTGATGAATTATCAAAAAATATTTCTAAATAAATTTAATTTGATTGAGGACATAAAAGAGGGCAACATAAGTGTAGCTAAGAAAAAATACCAAAAGATATGGCAGCTTTAAAGGAAGCTAAAGAAAACTCTAGGGATTAAATATGAAAACACTGAAGAAATGCAATGAATGGGTTAAACAACTTTTTAGACAGAATCGAAAATGAAAATACTGAACTAGAGATAGCATCCATGAAACTAAGGAGGGTAGAAACATAAAATACGAAAGGGAAACTAAGAGACATTATCAGAGAGAAAGTAGTTCTATTACATGACTATTGGAGATGGAGAGGGAGAACACTGAGAGACTAGGGAAATAGCATTATTCATAGAGATAAATGAATAAGAATTCTCCAGATGTGATGATAGAAAAAAATATCATTCATTCATTCATTTAACAAATATGTATTAAGTGCCTACTATGTACCAAGCACTTTTCCAAACTCTGGAAATACAGGCAAGAACAAAACAGTTGAAAATCAGTGCCTTCATGGAGTGCTGTAATTCACACATGAAATAATGCTGCCTCACATTAAAGTAGCAAGAGGAGTGACACGACGCGGCATGTAGTCGCATATATTTGGAAGACAGAGAAAATAGAATTTCTTGATTTGAGAGGTGAGAGGGAATCAAGGATAACTCAAACAAGTTGAGGGAGCCTGGGCACAAAAGGTGGAACTATTACTTTCTGAGACTGGAAAGACCTTGAGGGGTGCAGATATAAAAAATAATAATAATAAGATGTTCAATTTTAGACATCCCATTTAAAGTGCCTGTTACATATTTAAAAAGAGACGTTGACTAGGAAGTGAGATATGGGAGTGTGGATTGCATGGATGTGGTACAAAATGGAGATATGTCAGTGTCTTGAAAGAACCACCTAAGTGTATTTTGAAATCAGCAAGAATTATGATAGCATCAATATGGGAGAGACTGACAGAAAGCCAAGAGTAAAAACATTTAAGGAACCCTGGAGGGAGAGGAGCTCTGGAGTTAGAAAAAGGGCAGAGGATTGCACCAAGACAGATTAGAGGGTGGTAATACTCTGATGACATGAAATTCATGAAGGATGGAGAAATGGCTGGGAAGCATCAATGAGGAGCAAGAAAACATATACTGCACCTCCAGCCATCAGTGCTAGAGGTGTGGGAGAGAAAGCAACTTCCACTTAAGAAGCCTCCAGGGAAAGCTATGTACTCAGAAGAAAGGTTTCAATTATAGCATAAAGTTAA